TATTTTAAATAAATTTTTATTCATATATATAGAGAATTACTTAAAAAAAACCTAAACTCACTCCAAACCCAAATTTTGGGTATAACAACCGGAGTTATTTTCACAGCATTTAGATGAAAAGCAGCTCAGGCAATGCTTGGCAAGCAGCTAGGTTTTGAGTAATTCTCTGAACTTTTCAGCTCTTCATAAAAATTTGCCTTTAAAGTGTCCGCTATCCTTTTCACATCGATTACATACTGTGTTTCTTTCTTCTTCCATACAAAAAAAGGAGGCTCACCTCGGAAGGTATCAGCAATAAACACTCATTTTTGGCATTCAGGCTGCAGTAGTCAATTATTGTGATTTTTAGATTTACATTAAGCCTTAAACTCACTCTGAAGTGTGAAGCTGACTGGCCAGCTGACTTTAAGATCTGTTTACAGATGACCATTTTTTCCTAACAGGTTTTGCTAATAGACCTCCTTTCCAATTAAAGGAAACAGGAATAGTTTTCATGGCCCATCTAGTGGTTGCAGGCTGAGATTGCCAGCAGTGGGGTCAGTCGGTACAGACAGCACAGGCGGATTTAGCAGTAAGAACACTTTTTTCCCTTCCCCTCAGAACGTGAAACAAAAAACCTTGTTTTAAATTGGGCTGCGTAAAGCAAACATGCTCTCCTGTATTTATTTAGTTCTAAAGGATTTTCAGTGCTGATTCTCAGTTCTCCAGCCTCACTCAAAGGACATAGGGTTGAAACTGCTGGTATTATTCTGCCTGGTGAAGGCAAATGAGTTACAAATAAAATAATTTTGCCAAAATACCTGGCTCAAGTGCCATTCCTTCCGTTGTGATGATACACAGCAAATCTGCCAGTTCACCCTGGTAAATCGTTGGGTTGTCAGAATGCACCGAGACATTAAACACAGGACCTAGAAAAGAATAACCACAGTTATTCGTGACAGGCTTTTCTTCAGTGTCCAAAACCTTTCTTGCATGTTTTTGAAGTATTCTCTGCTAGTTTGTGGAGACAGAGCTCTGAAGCAATCATGTAAGTTTTCACAAAATAGTTATCCATTTTTAGCCATTAATTCCTGCACTAAGATGAAGTACCCAAACTGCCAGACCTGTCACCCAACACAGAGGCCTTCTGTGTAGAAGGCCCAAGTCTGCCTTCTACTGTCCTGCACAAAAGGAGCCGGTCTTCCACTGGCGAATCCTCTAAGAACACAAGAGTTCAGGTCTTCAGGCTAATCCAGCATGGATCCTTTTGGCTGAGGTTGTCAATAGGAATTCAAGTTAGAGCAAACCAGTATTTTAACAATACGGATTGGAACTGAAACACAGACAATACAAGAAGTGCATCTGATAACACTTTTCTGTGGGTTTTCCTTCAGCCTCTGCCACAGATAGCTTCTTCTGTAGAAGATGTCTCAAAGCCCAAGTGTACAGTAACTCCTTCAGTTGCAAAGTGGTGATGATATTGATGAAAACCATTAGACTGTAATGAAATGTTCAGACACCATGACAACATGTGGTGTTTGACTTTTGAGGTACGTAAGTTAAAAAAAAAAAGCTTCCCCAAATTTTGACAACTACATCTCTGGTGCAAAAATAACAAAACCACAACTCCTCGTATATACCAACATTGCTAGTATCCTCTATTTCACAGGGCAGAAACTGAAGAATGTGTCAAAATACCTTTAGTGATTTCTCTACTAAACAAGGCGAAGGAGATGAGTAGGAGGAAAGCTGATGCTAATGGTGGCCTCTGGGATGGCTTTGGGGAAAGGGGCCAGGGAACCCAAGAACGAACTTGGGACTCAGATTAAGAAGTAACGCTTTTTACCCTCCCTGGACTCCATTAGCGGCTATCATTACCTGGCTCAGCTACCTCTGGGACAGCAGCAGCAGCAGCAACAACAAGCATAGAAAGGTGATTTGAGAGGAAAGAAAAGCTGTTGGAAGATTTGCCCTCCTCCACTCTCACATGCTACTGTTTCAGTACAGGAACTGTAGATTTCAAATGCACTGAAGATCAGTGGCAAACAATGCTTTTGATGGAGAACGTTTAAGGAAATCATCCAAGACAACCCACTTGTCCCTTGCCCTCCCAACAGGTTTCTGTGGAAAGCTGTGCTGATGACTCATCACATTGCACACACCTATCGCATCACTTCCAAACTGAGGTTCTGGAAAGAAACATAGATGTGTCGTGAAGCTAGAGCTGTCATTTTTGGTGAAACCATTCTAGACTACAAGGGCCTGGCTTGTTTTGGTCAGCAGAGATTACACAGCACACTAAGAAATGAATTCCAATTACGATGCAATAATTACTTCTGTGGCTTCCAAAATTCCCCCCACAATTTCCACTGGGCACAATGTGCTGCTCTTTGTTATACCATAAATTCCTTACAGCCCTCTTCTCTGCCCCAGAAGCAGTTGTACTTTGTACACAAGGGCAGTATGTAGACATATAATCCCAGAGGTCTGTACCCATTTGGATACTAGAAGTCCTCTCTATTAAAAATTAAGATTGCAAGTTACCCCACCAAGCAAGGATAAAAGGGTGTAGAGATGCAATAGAGGTTACATGTGGACTACCAGCCGAGGCTCCTACATGCATATACTAGAGCATATTTAGGGAAATAAGTGACCCAGAACGCTTTGAAGCTCAACCGTTCAGGTAGCGACTTCACGAGCAGGCTGCAGCCCTGACTTAAGCTCAGCATGATGAGATCCTTTTCTGGGGAAATGGAGAGAAATTAATCTGATTGCTTCCTCAGCCTCTATCCAAACTCTTTCTATGTGCATTCAATTTGTTTCCTGATATTCACACACACACACCCCCAACCATATTCCCCTTGCAGCCAATCTGATTATTTGTCTTCAGATAAAACAAGACATTTTCCATCATTTTCTTTGGAGTTGTGCAGACAGAAGGTCAAGGTCCTAGGGGACTAAAGGCAGCATGGACCAGGGCACTCCAGCCAACCATAACCAGAACAGTCTCAAGCTGTGTGTGAACTGTCACAGCAACAGAAACAAAGAGACTGTCAAAAGCTGCCAGGAACATCCCTGCATTCCCAGCACATACCCTCTGCTGCACTGATCAAAGGCAAAACCGCACCGTAATAATCCTGGTACCATCTGTAGCTCGGGGTCTATCCTAAGTCCCAGCAGCGAGTGAGGTAACATCATGTCAGGAATATGGGACATGCTCTACTCCAGCAAACAGGCTCTGTCCTGGCTAGATGCTGGCAGGGATTGAGCAAGGGAGATGAACTGCATGATCCCAACTTTGTCAGCCTAAGGATGGGCTGCCTTACCCCTGCCCTGGCAGGGTAAACAAGGAAAGACAGAGGGTACATATAGACAGGACTTTTCAGGCCTTATTTCTAGGTTGAAAGTCCAGGCATCTACTGCGTTCAGACCCCGGCTTCAAACCCTGGCATGCCAGCAAACCACTAATGCAGAGTGGAGTCTGAGCACTCCTGGCCATTGAGTATCACGAGGGTAAAAGCTAAGCTTGTTTGGTCACTCAGCCAGGAAAGGCTGTGTACCATGGTAATGCAGCACTTCCTACATACTCTTCAGTTCTGGGTCAGCACGTGCATCTCTACCCTGCCTCCCACATGAAGAGTCAAAGCTTCCTGGGCAGTAAGAAGGCTGCTAGACAGCAGCTGCTCTGTCATTTCATGATCATACTTCCCCTTTGTAAGCCACAAACAGTTATTTCTCTTTGGTTATTTCCCTGCTAGGGTACATCTCCTGCAAACTACCATATGTACCTCCAGGGAGAAATCATTGTCCTGTGTTAGAACAACTGGATTTCAATAGAGAGTCGAGAGATGTGTCAGGGGTTGTGCTCTTCCCTCTCCAGCTGAAGACGGAAAACAATTATTTTTTTTTTTTTTAAACCTAAGCAAGCTTCATTCCAGTGAAAGCTTCTTAGTTCAGTCGTGAAAACTGTGTGGTTGCAACCTCCTAGGAGGAGCATCTTTCTTCTTTGGATATATCTCAGGCCACCTGCCCACAGGCCCCACGCCCTGGGCCTCAGGTTGCCCTCAGGCATGAAAGGACAGAATAAAGCATCTTCACAGATTCCCTCCTCCCCTCAAAATCTGAAAAGGCAGGAAGCTGTTTTCAACAGAGACCCGTTAGCCCTGAGATGGATACAAAGACCATTTAATCCCCTACCCTCCACCATAAGGTACACTTGAATCAGAGTTGTTGTAGTCACCACACAGCCTGGGAAAGATTCACAGAAGCTGACGACACAGCTCTAATCGCCCTCCTCTATAGAAGGGTTCTGGTCTTGTTTTTGTTTGGTTTTATTCTAAAAAACCTAACTGACCAGTGCTTTTAACCTGATTATAACTCACCCGATTTATGTCTCCAGCTTAAGCAATTTACTCTGGCTTCAGCTGAACCTGTCTGGCAAAAGGACGAGAGAAGAAGGAATGAGCCGCATGCCAATCTCAGACAAAAGCAGCAGCAAACCAGTGTTTGTTAGTGGGTTACAAGCAAAACCACTGCCTTTTCTCACTGGACATCTGCTTTGCTGCAGGCTCAGGAAAAGCACCTGAGCAAAAAACAGCACCAGAGCAAACACGGGTTGTTTCCAGACACATTTTCAAGGCTCCCGAGAACCTCCCAAGAGGTCACAAATGCCCCACAAAAACATTCTACAAGGTGTGGATCCTGTTGGGGGTTTTTTCCCCCCATTACCATCACACCACAGTATTCAAGAGGCCCTGGATCTAGACTCCACCAAGCAGGGCTTGGCACACAAAACCCAAGTGCTTTTCTTAAGTTTTTACCCTCCAAGACAAAAAAAAACCCACACAATAAAAAACCCACCACCAAACTCAACTCCAAGCTTACAGATGCAGACATGTGGTAACAGGCAACTCCCAGTCGACACTGATGACACATACTATCAGGGTCTCAACATCGCCATGCTCAAGCACTTGCAGTGTCACAGGAAGGGTTGGGAAGGTGACATGAACTCTACTTCGATGAGTTCATGCTACATTAACACTGAGAAAAATAGAACTCTACAGATAACAGATGATGTGGCTTTGCTCACCCTGCCACCTGTATTTAACAGTTTGAAATACTGTTATTGGCACCTACTAGTCACTCAGGAGAATAAACAAACCAGAATTTAGTTTCAGTTGCAGGGCTGACAGATCAAGCACAACAACCTGTAAAGCTCATCAAGAACAAAGCAAAGTTAAGTGTAGGAAAGCTGCTCAGGAGTTTGAAAGCTGAGAAATAATTGGATTTCAATAACTTCAGGTTTGAAGATAAGTGTCATGCCCTTAGCTAATTTGGAAACTAACGAGCACAGATTTACAAAACAAACCAGCATTCCCAATTATAAGAGCTAAGCATCAACCTTCCCCTAAATTGCCATCTTCTGCTGAGGCCTTTGATTTAAACTAAGCCAAAAATCTCGGTTCCTCACTATAGTAAGGCCATATGTAAGCTTAGATACAACCCCTAAAAGAAATTTTCTTCTCTATTAAAATAATAACAATTTTATATTAAAAAGAATCTGCAGTAAAGACAGGAATAAAAAGAGTTTCCAGAGCATTTCTTGACTTCTGAATGCTTGAAAAACACTATATAATTTTAAACAGAAAGTGAAGAAACTGAGGTTAGAAGTTTACTAGTACAAATCTAGAAGTGCTTAAAGAGAAACCAGGTTCCAGGATCAGGACCTGTTTGGTGTAATTTCTCCTGAATGTCCCCTTTTACGGCAGATCTTATTGCTCAAACTGTTGATGCAACCCAGGAAGGAAACTCCAGGATCGAAATCCTACAGTGATACAGTTTTCAGCTAAAAAGTGTATTGCAAATTCTTCCACATGTGTAAATGAAAGAAAAAAAATGTTTATAAGCTGCACCAAATTTGGTTTATTAC